AAAAAATTATTATCCCCACCGCCCCCCACAAATAAAAAAAAAAAAAAAAAACTCATTTTTTATGATTGTCAACCATTGGCTTAATTTTGTCTGTCATGTCTAGACTAGTATTCTACGTACCAAAATTTTAGGAAGTGCTTATGAAATCATATTGTAATTAGGAATAATTTGAAGTTAGAGTGGAATTAAAATCTAACCGAAAATTCGATTTTAGGAAGGTCTCCAATCCTTTCTGATGTGTACTTAGTTTATGGTACTGTTACATGGAGGATTCATGCGAGGGATTACACTGGTTGAGACTCAAAATGTCCCACAAACACAATTCTGTTTCTCTTCAGTTTTGTCAAAAAATCTAAACCAGCAACGAAATATATTGTTCAAAAGACAGTACATTCAATTTCAATTCAACATGTTATCAAAGCAAACAAACATCATGGAGTCTTAAGTATCACCATCACGTTACTGATTCAATCATAGTAATCTCATCTCAAATTTTTGTAAGGGCGAATACAATCTCCTCGACCTCTTGTCGACGTTGTCATGTACGCAACCTGTTAGGTTAGACAGTAACACTCTAAGATGAACAAGACAGAACTGGTTGTATGTCTGGAGGAGAAATATATAGAATAACTGAACTTTTTCTTTGAACTCGTTACTGGAAATCTTTAATATTGTAGAATTCCGACTTTATTTTATTCTGGAAGTGATTTTCCAATACTCTTTCTACAAACTTATTGTTATATCTAGAAGAAAAGGTTTCAAATCTTTCGGACCACAATCTTACATTTCTTTTTTTATTTATTTGGAAAAATTAATGCAGTTAGTCCCAACCTTTGGGACATTCTGAAAAAAATTGTGTCAGATTTTAAAATCATTTTTTTCAATTCTATACTAAAAGTTCCATTAGCCTATTTCGTCATTTTTACATAATTTCATTAATATTGGCGTTAAACTATCTTCTCATGAGATGTCAGCTAATTTTTGGATGGGTAAAGTTGGCAAGACGATATACTTGATAGTTGATATATAACCTAATCTTTTAGATATTTTATTATTTTCAATTCCAATAACTTTATTATTTACTACAAGTGTCGCTTCTGTGCCAGCTACGTGTACGCAGTCGACCGTATATAGTCTTTGCACTCAGCGACGGACCCAGGGGGGTTCGGGGGGGCATATGCCCGCCCAACTTTTGAGTTATATATATAATCATACTGGTATCGATTGAAATATAAATTTTAATCTAAATCAAAGTTAACAATTCATTTTAATAACATATTTCATGAAATCCATAAATATTTAACTTTTATCAAAATTTACAAAAAAATTGATTTTAATCTTCATCAAATAGGGGTAAAATCACAATAAATTTTAATTTTTCTTTGTTTCTCTCGCCTTTTAATAAAATCTTAACTTTTCATCAAACAAGAGCAAAATATTGCATTCTTAATACCATTTCGAAGTATTCATAGTTTAGTTTTTTACGACATTAATGGCGTACGAAACGATCAATCGTAGCAAATGCTACAACTTGTCAAAGTAAGCCGTTCAAAATTAGTATTTCGAAAATTTCGATAATATGCTAACTTTAAAAAAGTTTCGACGATCGTACGCTAATCGAATATAATCAAATATGCAAATTGCTTAGGTCATCTCAAAACTTATTTTGAGAAATACATTATAGGCACATCAAATAATCCAAACAGATATCGAAAATAGTTAAAAATGCGTTAAACGTGAGTTTTAAAGAAAGGCGTTTAACTCATATGTTCTTTAAAAAAATTCAATTATTTCATTAATATTTATTATTTTTACAATACAAATTTTCTCAATGTAATTTTCATCCTTTTATTAGGAAATTTTATATGGAATATGCCATAATTTTTTTTTTTTCAAAATTTTAAATTTGAAAAAGGCAGATCCCATGTAAATTTTCGGATGCAAAATTATATGTGGTATGATTTTTTTGGACGTAAATTTTCGATTGTAAAATTTCTCTCAATTTCTTTGTAATTCGATTGTACCTCCTAACTTTAAACTTCTGCATCCGCCCATGATTGCTCTATCAACCATTGTTGAGGCTCCCTAACCAAAAACCATATCTCTGCTACTACTCTCGAAGCAAGTGATGAATCAAGAATTCATAATGGAATAAGGATCAAACATGGCAGCATCCGAAGTGAAGAATCAAGAATTCATGAAATTGGATAGATTCGAGGTGACAAATTGATGTTTCTTTTTACTGCGCTTTACATTCAATGTCTTCAATCTAGACTTGGGAACCTATACTAGATCCTACTGCCAACTACAGTGCAATAGGGTCTAAACGTATTCGTGTAAATGGGTATTTAGAAGAAAACTGATTGGCAGCTGAATGATTTAGACAAAAAGAAAGCATAGATTATTTTGATACCTACTCTCTTGTTGCTAGAATAACGTCTATCCAAGTGTAATTGCACTAGCACAGTGATACACACACAACTGAAATGGGATTTGAAGCTATTCTTGGGACTACTTTCATTCAAAAAATGAAAAAAGTAGTTCGATGAAAGCGATAGTTAAGAGGTTAAAAGATGCTGATGACCATAGTTTAATGAAATCTGCTATTGATTTTTTTAGAGTTAATTACTTCATTTTTATAGTTAATCAAACTCATTCTTCACTTCAAACTCAGTTAGCAAAATTCAAAAATATGAAGAAACTTCTGAATTTTTGTTTGGCTTGTAAAAGGTTAAAAGATGCTGATGACCATAGTTTAATGAGGTCTTGTCAGAATCTTGAACATGTTGTTCTGATATTGATGGATGTGATTTATTTTCAGAGTTGACAATATTAAATTATAGGATTTTGCTTCTTTTACAGTCCCCGTTCACAATCCATTTCACACCTTTTCAAATTTGATGACGTGGCACTGATCCTGTCCAACAAAAAAAGGAACCCAGCCCAGAAGACTTCCCTTATCCCCATTTCACACTGAGAAGCTAAGACAAAATCCCCAAATTCGAATCCCCCCCAAATCACTACATTTCTTTCCCGCCATCAAGGTTCCCGTCGATTCCAGCCACTGTATTTTGCCAACCGGTGGTGTCGCCGTCCTCCAGTACTACTCTTCCCAGCCGAGAAGAGGCAAAATGGCATTGGATTTTGCTCGCGCACCAGTTTTTCGAGCTGGTATGTTTCCCTTCTTTTTTGTTGAGCTACATTTTTCCTTTTTTATTTTAATTTCCTACTTGGGGGTAGTCGAAGGTATTGGGATAAAATGTCTCAGCTGCATTATCCGATTTTGCGTAAAGGAGTAATAGCAGATGAAAGAATGGTCGGACGAGTATATGAGTTGTATAATCTTGACTAATCATGGCTGGAATCTATTATTTATTATGAGGTTTTATCAGATTGAACTATTCTTCCTCCAACAAAGAATGAATTATTATTATAGGGTTGGATTGAACATGTGTGTAGTGGCTCTCTTTTGTTATGCTGAATAAGTAAAAAGACATTTGTAATGGCCAAACTTTTGAGTGGACGATATGCTAGCAAATATGACATTAAACTGGGTTGTGGAATGCCAAAAATTGTTGTCGCTCATTCTGTAATCAAGATGAACTTATTGGTGTAACATATATCATTGCTGAAAAAATTTAATTATCAAACATGTTTTGAGTTAGTTTTAAGATTAGTCGAGCATGCTCTTGTCAATAGTAGCGAATATTCTTTTTAACTGCTTGTGATGGTGAATGCAGGCTGTGCAACATGGACATGATATCACCAGTACAACAAGTAATTTGCTCTGCATTTCATGACAGTCGATTGCTCATGGAAACATGTCAAGAAGCAAAGAAAATGAGGAAGATTGTTACTCTCTTTTATCTGGATTAAGTGAAGTCTATAGTGCTATTAATTTATCCATATGTTGAACAGAACAAGTGAAGTCCGTCTAGATTAGAATGCGTAGTTTTGACGCTTTTGTCTACCCAAAAAAGAAAAACTGCAAAAAGGGCATACATTCATACCTTGTTTGTCAGAATGATGGCTTTCAATGTTCAATACGTATCTGCTGTGCAGATAATTTGCTGCAATTTACTTTTCCCTTCTCTTAATAAATTTGATTCATTTTGTACAAACATGTGTTTTTATTAATGGTTATACAGTTGTATGTGTAAGTAGAATGCCAAAAACCTTGAGATTCATGTGTGTTGAATTGAGATTTTAAAAGAATTTGAATTGAAGTGGTTGATGGTAGAAGATTGAAGTATAACTTTGATAGGTTCCTGGTGGCAAAGTTGTCCATGATCTGGTTTAGCATTTTCCCAGGAAGATTATTCTCTTACTCCTCTCCCCGTTTGATACATAATACTAAATAGAACTAATCTGTACAATAAACAAGAATTAATCTACAAATATACACATGTAAGTCATGACGCATGATCTACTAACACTTTCGAGTATAAAAAATAACATGAGATTCAGACATTAGGTTACTACATGAACCAAAAGTAGAGAAACACCAGCAGTAGAAAGTCTTGTATACATAGACAATTTACAAGGTGCAGAATCATCAAGATTGCATAATGAGACCACCCGTAAGAACCTTCAGTACGATGAGATCTTGTGACAAGAAATAAGTTTCAGTGCTTGCAAGAAAATGAAAACAAAAAAGAACATGGAAAGAAAATACTTCAAATTCAAGAATTCAAGTAGGAGGTAACATAACTTGGAAACCCAAACTTTCAAGTTACATAACATAGTGAATCAATATTGCTCAATAATTACAAAGAAAACGATATTCAATCCCTCTAGCTGGCATGAGATACAGAGAGTTGTTCGTTAACCAAAATAAATTCTACGCTATTGTACACTATATGATAGGTAAATATTGTAACCACGAAACTTCAAAATAATTTACACAAGTATGATAATCTTTTCAAATTTCAAATAAATATTGAAAAACAACTAAAATGTGGCATCTGGATGCAAGTTGCAGTGGCACTACTGGATCCACATCAAGCAGGTAATGGTTCCTCTATAACTGCACAAATATGGAAAATAAAATGTCAAAAAGTTGTGGGAATTAAAAAATCTCTTAAATTCTTTCAAGAACCTTATGTGAGGGACAGAGACCTTTTCTTGGTCCAGAATCAACCACCACCTCGGAAATGACTGGTGCTTTGGTTGGAACATGAAGAAGATCCAACTTCTCTTCTTGTTCTTCAGTAGCTGCTTCCTCAAAAGGAACTTTTGGCAGATCTCAAAGGGTTAACTGTACAAAACCATACGTTCCTTAATTTGATAATTGATGGTTTCTATTTTATGTTATGTGTAGATCATATGACACTATTTTCATACAAAAGACAATGACCCAGAGGAAGAAATAATCGATAGGTCAAGAGAAAAGAGATTAGAAGTACAAAATAGATATATCTTGGTGTCATGCAAAGCGGCAAAAACAAATAGAGAGAAACTAAAGCTTCACTAATCTAAAGCCGCTTACTTAGAACTTAAAAGCTTAATACAACTTACATAGAGGTTTAAAAAAGTCCTAAATAGCTCATATCTTCTCAGTTTTATATAGCAAACTCTGTAAAACTGGCGCGCGAGCAAAATCTAATACTGTTTTGCCTATTCTCGGCTGGGGAGAGTAGTGCTGGAGGACGGCGACACCACCAGTGGGCACTACCGTGGCTGGAATCAACGGGAACCTTAATGGCGAGAAAGAAATGTAGTGATTTGGGGGAGATTTGGGGGAGGTTCGAATTTGGGGATTTTGTCTCAGCTTCTCAGTGTGAAATGGGGATAAGGGAAAACTTCCGGGCCGGGTTCTTTTTTTTTGGTTGGGCTGGTCCAGTGCCATGTCATCAAATTTGAAAAGCTGTGAAATGGACTGTGAACCGGGACTGTAAGAGAAGCAAAATCCTAAATTATAATTCATTTTTTTCCATTTTCTTATCGATAACACATTCTTCTATAAAAATAATATTACACGTAAATTCAAAAACTTTTCATTCTTTTTTAACCACACATTTTTCGAAAAATAATTATCCCTCTCATTGTAACGTGGAATAATGGGGCCAAATGGGCGCTTGAAGTGTTACTGACCAAGGCAAATAAAAGGAGTAATTTACGTGTTGGATTTTTTTGAAGAAAATTGATGGTTATTTCCCAAATGCTCTTGTTGCTTATAGAATTTTGTCACAATGTTCACGAAAATATGTTTCGAATTTAAATCACAACAAGTGCACGGTTCGTTGACAAGTAATAAGTGAAAATCCTAGAATTTCGAGTATCGTTCCCACTTGAATTAATTTAACTTGATTTTAATTATCATGACCTTAACCGAATCTATTAAATTTGAGATGAGTTTTTCAGTTTTTATAATTAAACTAAAACTAGTATGCAAATTAAACTAAAATTACGACTTAAATGTAAAAATAACGTTTCAATGCAAAATATTTGAATGAAATTAATGTATGAAAAAACGTACTAGAATCCCGAATCACCAAGCAAAGTTCACTCTTAACCCCTATCTCACAATTTGACAACACGATGAATCGTTTGAAGAATCAATGTTCCTAACCTATCCAACAATCTCTTTCGAGTAGAATTGAACCTATCCTANCGAGTAGAATTGAACATATTCTAGCATACTATTTGATTATATTTCTATGACAAATGCAATATACAAGAATGCATGAAGTTTTGTAAATACTTAAAGATTCACGTAAAGTATAGCGATATATTTCTATCCCTATGAACCCTACGATGATTTATACCTTATTGAGTTTATTTCTCTTCTTTCAAATGTATAAAATAAATCACACAAACTCACACAATTATCGTGCGCTATAATCGTGGAGGCAAGAGAGTGTATATAAATCATTCAATATCCATCAAACGTATTTAAATATCAAATTACAAAAAGAAATTAAAATATTACAATGCGAGGTTCATCGTTCACCTAGTACATAAAAAGTTTAGCCTAACATGGATAAAATAAAAAAACAATAAAAATAGTAAGGAGAAAACATCACCAAAAAACTAAAAATTAGGCTTGAAATCTTGAATTTTGAATGAAATCTTTGTTCTCGTCTTCTTGTTAGCTCTCCAATGTGTTTTTCTCTCAAAGAATGTGTCCCCCTAGTTTTGGACGAGTTTAGGGTTAAATAGGTCATCAAAATACCCTACCATAAGAGATTAGTTCGAATAAGGAAACCAAAAAATTCACGTCCAGAATGAACAATGTGACTGCATGGTAGAAACCCTTGCGACAACATGATTACAAAAATTTTGCACTGTTCATCTCCTGTTGGTGCTTGGGCGACTGCATGAACTTTCTACCATGCGACTACATGGTAGAAATTACTTTCCCTTTGATTCACTTTGGTCTCCAAGTTTGTTTCATCTGCCTTTTGGCCTTGCTTCATTCTCCTTCTTCTTCTAACATTCCATGATATCACAATATGTTACTTAACTCAATTCTATGCTTGAATCACCATTCGGGTCATCTTCTGAAAAATTGCATTTTGCTCCTGAAGTTTCATTTTCTTCTAATTTGGTCTTTTTCTCTCGCTTTTGCATACTCTTCATTAGATCCATCAATGTAATCCTACAAACATAAATTATATCGGATTAAACCATATTTCAACATATATACTAACAATTTTTCATGTTTTGTTGCCTAAATAAGTGTGCAAAACGCACTTATCACACAATACCAACTACAGCTGCATCTCCAAGTTGAAGTTAATCAAGATTTATCTTTGATCAACTATGTCAGAAAAAATATTGAATGAATAAGTTATCTTATGAATTAGGAAAAATGATTGAACTATTTGATTATGTACGATGGAGTAGATGTGTTATCTCTACTCTTGGTGGAGATCATGTCCACTTTTATAATGGTAGTGTTTCTGTTGGCTCCTTTCACGATGTTATGCATGGCATTGTTGAGGTTTACTCCTCCGGTAATTTTGGACCAGGTGTTGGCATAGTTTTCTATGCTGCACCTTGGCAGATTACGGTTGAAGCGAACACCATGGACCGCAAGTTTCCTAGTTATGTCATCCTGGGGAACCAAATGAGATTCCAAGTTTTTCTTCTTCTTGATTCCATTTTCCATTATATCTTTTGAACCACGGATTTAATCTCAATTGAAAATAAATATTAGTTGCCTATATGCTAGCTGGATTCTAGAGCAGATATTGAATATCTAAAAGAAATTGTAGATTCCTTAAAGTATTCAGTACCTATACTTTTTTTTTGTTGACGTAGGAACCCTCAACTGCTACCCGCCATCGGAGGCTCGACCACTGTGAGTACGTACTAGGTAAATTCCGCTCCATGTGTAATAGCCCACAAACCACACAGGAGAGGTATACCGCACTAGGCAAGCCCGGTGCGACGGGCTCAACCGAGAAAGTGTTGGCAGGGAATTTGAATTTGTAACATTTGGTCTCCGCGTTCACCTACTCCATCAACTGGGCAATGGTTAAAGGATTTTGTCTTGTTAAAGGCAATTGTTTTTCTTAATTAAGAGAATTTAACAACTTTTTATTGCTCTACAGGATGAAGGTCATTCTAACAAAGCATTGCCGAATAAGAAGTTATTTCTAACAATGTGTCAATGCATCAGTTGACAAAGCGTAAGGATTAAATTTTAAACATCTCATTCAGCGTGCTTTAAATTCATAAGAAGAGTCGATTCCATGTTTATTTTATACTAACAGCAAGTCATTATGTATTCTTGCAGTATTCTCAGTAAAGCTGGAACTCTGGACCCCAAGAAGGTGTAGGGGAAAATTTTTGTCTGTTTACGAGGAGATAACCCATGAGTTGATAAGGGCCGACAAGCTCTGGAGCGGTTGGAATGGTTCTAGCCAACAATGTCCTTTATGGGAATGAAATTCTTGCTGATTCTCATGTCATACTGGCTGCACATCAATTCAATGAGGTTAGAAAACACGACAAGTATATAGCATCTTCTTATTGCACAAGATATAGAATGGCCTTACAGTGTGTCTTTCGTTTCTGTTTCTTGTTGTGAATCTGGAAATGTTTTAATTAGGTCTCCTACAGCTTATATCACTCCTGCAACGACACAATTAGGCATGAAACAAACTCCATTCATGGCAGCGTTTTCATCCAAAGGTCCAAACACCATTATGCCCGAGATTCTTGAGGTTTCACATCGACTCAGTCATTTCTCCTGATTATTTTGTTGTCAGAAGACTGATAATCAATTGTATCTTCTCTTCAACCAGATATAACTGCACCAGGAGTGAGTGTCACAGCAGCCTATACGAAGGCGCAAGGACCTACAAATCAAGATTTTGATTCACGCCATATTTTATTCAATTCAGTATCGGGCACTTCAATGTCATGTCCTCGTATTTCTGGTGTTGTTGGCCTTTTGAAAACCCTTCATCCAATTTGGATTCAGGCTGCCATTAAATCCGCTATCATGAGTAGTGGTGAGAATTTTGTAGCCGTCACAAATCATTCTCAGTTATAACCCGAATCTCTATTTCTCACTAATCTGTAATCTTATATTCATCTTTCATTACATCAAGAATGCGTGATAATGCTTTTGAGCCATTGACAAATGTATCTCACTCAAAGGCTACGCTTACACCATTTTGTTATGGAGGAGGACATGTGCAACTAAACCGCGCGGCGTGAAAAACGCAGGATTCTACCCAACTACAACCTAGAGGGGGAGGAGGGGGTAATTAGATGTAAATGCAGAATTGTCAATCTAATTAACTAGCAATATGTCACAAGTTAATTATGTCTAGGTGATTAGTCAAACAATCCAATTTAGCCTATCTTTGAATGCCACAGTTATATCACAACAATAAATAAAGTAGTATACAACACCAGAATTGTTCACAGAGAAACTCAACGTGGGAAAAACTCCGGGCGCTTTACTAGTCAAAGATCCACTATAAACTGATAATATACTTACAGATCACCAGCAAAGTTGACAACACAAGCTTTCTGATCTCCTGTCTGAAGTAAGAAGCAGCCCTCCTGGAATGTGTACACGAACACCAAACCCGGCCATTCTTTGTAAAGCAGTCCTCCTGGAATGAGCACACGAATTCCAATCTTGACTCTTTACGTAGTTTATCTCCTATAGATCTTTCCCAAGAACTTCTNCTCTTCGTTCTTCAAACTCTTCCTTAATCTTTAATGCAGCACAGTTGACGACACAATCTTGCAGTAGACCTAAGTGAAGAAACCAATTTAATGTTTGATTTGATATCTTTGATGGTTTCTATGAAAAAAACACATATGAATTGAAGGATTGAACTTTTGATCTGATGTATGATGTATTCTCTATGGAATAGAATGTGTTCAATCTCTCTCACAGAAAATACGGCGCCTCAATATATAGGTTGGACGAAATAGGTTGTATGGGCCAAGTAAAAATCTAGAAAATAGAAAATTAGGTTTCTCAAAATAATATGTCGCTCGAGCGATGTGGCTTCTTTGCTCGAGCGAAGGGTCTATCGCTCGAGCGACAGTGGGGCGAAAGTCGAGTTAGGTAGTTTACGTTTCAGTCGCTCGAGCATCACTCCAGCGATCAGCTAGCGAAAATTCGGCGTGGTTTCTTCTTGTTCCAAACATAAAATCTCAAACCCTAAACTAACCTACCAACTATGAAACTTTACAATTTAGTCCCTAAACTTTTATAAATGTTCAAGTTGGTCAATTTGTTTACAAAATCGCCAATACAAAATATAAACCTAACACGACGGACCCAGTCACCCAGGGTTGGCTTCAATTTAGCAGTTAAGGATTACTTGAAGTTTCTATGCTCCCTCGGCTATAATAAAAAAAAAATCCAGTTAGTCTCAGACTAACCATGTACATGCCCTACGCCCATTAGTCTCATCAACTTAAACTAACCCTCGATCACACTCCCGAACCTCAATGGCTCGATAACCGAGTTAAGGAAGTTGGCTAACCTGGTACGTATGAAGCTAGTATTCGCCGTCCAACTGGAATATCAGTTTGTATCAAGCTGGATACTCTGAAGTTCAAAGAAATCGGTGAAGAGAAAACATTCATACTCACTTTCAAGGCCAGGAAATCCAATGCAGCTGGGTACTACGTATTTGGCCAGTTGACATGGTCTGTTGGTAAACACTAGGTAAGAAGTCCAATTATGGTAAAACAATATAGAAATTAGCATTTTTACATAATGTTTTGTAGTACGCAATACAACTATTGTTTTTATATTAACCCAACAATTTAAAATAACATTTTTACATAACTTATAAAAGATTATAAAGTAACGTACAACACACATTTAATTATGACTAAATTTAAAAAATATGTATACTCGTAAAATATATAAATATTCTAAATAGTTTACACATAAAAAAATCTAAATAACTAAAACAGATTTAAATTCAATAATAATATTGAAGTGTAAGTTTATGTAAAAGCTATCACCTTTAAAAAAAAATATGAGCACTCATAAGTAGGGTTGTTAACGGATTGGATTTTGATCCGAACCCGATATGAATCCGATAAAATTAATGGGAGATGGATTTAAGGTCTCAATTTGATAACCCGATCAAGATTTGAATCTGATAATCTATTAACCAAATGGATCAAATATGGATATAGGTCAATCGATCCGATAACAATTTGATCCGATTTGTTATAAATAATTGAGTCGGTAAAATATTTTTATGATATATTATTTGTCACTAAAATAAATAGATGAGAAAAAAATAAATTTAGAATAAAAAAGTAATCAAATTAAAAATATAAAAAAGTTGAAAATTTTATAATTATTAATATTTAATAATTGAAAATTTTAAAAAAAAAAAGTTGATTTCAACCAATGTTCTAAAAATCGACCCGAGTATCGACCTTGAAAAGGAAGATGGTCAATAGTCAAAAAGTCAAATCGGTATTAAACCGGTTGTCAAATTGAATAAATAACTTTACACATAAATGTAAAATATTATAAAAACAATATATATTTTTTATTTTAGTTTACTAAGATAAAGTAAATAAATATCTATATTTTTCTTAATTAAATTTATTATTGTAATTAATTTTACAATTTCAAAAACTAATAATTAATATGTAACAAATAATTTGGTTTGTTAATGGAAATAATGAAATAAAATATTTATATTTAGAATTGAAATTTAATTTTACCTTATCCCACATTAAATATCAATAAAAAACTAGAAGATGATCTCTCCTTTAAAAAGGAACATCATGATGGTAGAAGTCGCTATTATGTTTGCTAGTAAAAATGGGTGGTCCTTTAGTTAGTTCAAAATTTTTTAAAGAATATTGATTTTTTTTTTTTTTTGGAAATTTCATAACTAAGAGGTTAAGTTTCACCAATTTCAAATTTAAGAGAGAAGATTTAAAATTTCAAATATCAGATTTTATTAATTTTATTTATAAAAAAAATTAATTAAACATAATTTTATTAATTAAATATATTAAGGTTACAATTCTATATAATTTGGTCACAAATTCTATATAATTGGTCACATATTATTAATTTGGCACAAATCACAAATTTTACACGTCACAATTCAAAAATTTTATAGATCACAATTTGTTCATCGATTACAAATAAAAAATTGAAAAGTCATAAATTATTTTACGGTCACAATTCAAAAAAATTATATGTCACAATTTGTTCATCGGTCACAAATCATAAATTTTGTAAGTTACAAATTATTTTACGATCATAAATCAAAAATTTTATAGGTCAAATATTATTTTATGGTCACAATTTAGAAATTTATAAGTCACAATTTATTCATCGGTCACAAATAAAAAAATTTATACATCACAATCTATTTATCGGTCACAAATCATAAATATTATAAGCCACAACTTAGTAGTCGTCACAAATTATCAAATTATTGATCACAAATTAACAATTTTTTAAGTCGCACATTATTTCTTGGTCACAACTCATATTTTCATTGGTCACGTATTGTTTATCTATCACAAATTAATGAATTTAATGGTCATAGACGACCAAATACCAAAACTTGTAACCATCACCTCACCATTGCCATCAACAGCATGACAATCGATCTGCCATCCCCGGAACGTCCACCACCTCCCAACAACAAACCATTGTTTAAAAATACCGACATCACCACCATATCACTAAAACCACGGATCCTCCACCACCAGCCCCCATCCTACAACCCAAAACAAAATCCCCAACCGCTGCCCACCATCACAGCCACCATCACAACTACCATCTCCTCTATCTTCATCTCAAACACACCGTAGCCACCCACCCATTAAAAAATTCCCAACCGTCGCCCACCATCACAGCCACCATCTCCTCTACCTTCATCTCAACCACACCGTAGCATCCCACCCACTAAAAAATCCCCAAACCGCCACCGCCACCGCGACCACCACAGCAACTGCAATGCTGCACCACGACCACCGCCAACTTACCACCACTGCTAACACCACGACCACCACTAATAACTGCCAAAATCAGCACCACCACTTTCACCACCATCAACCGCCAAAATTAACACCACAACAACCGTAAACACAATTGCTTGTGATAGAAATTCAACTAAAACTAACATTAGACATCATCAACACCACCATCGCGGCGAGCACTGCACAAATCAGCTCTTCACAATAGCGTTGTAAGCGTCGCCGTGGCACTCAAATTAAAGCCGCTTCCATTTTCAGATCGAAAACTCTCGAGAACCACAGTGATTGTCGTGCCTCATAACGGCGTTGTGGAACGATGTAAAGTGCCATGAAGCATTGTCGGACGACGATCAATATCGACGGCACCGCGAAGTAGCGTCCTGTGAGTGAAGCATTGCGAAGTACGCCAGTGGTGACACCGGTACAGCGCGATGAAGCGTAGAGTTGGAGTGTTCATTGGTACCGACAATAGAGAGAAAAGGAAGAAGAAAAATGAGGGGAGAGAGAATGTGAGTAAGTGAGTGAGTGAAGAAAGAATAAAGTGATTTAGGGTTTGAAGTTAAATGGGGTGGTCGGTGGGGGTGGACGGATGGTAGGGCTGTATATAGAGCTTGTTTGGGAGGGATTAAAATCACATTAAAATTGAAAAACTAGCTGTTAGAGTTGATTTCTATTAGACGAGTGGGACCCAATGACGGCTATATTTTCAATTTTAATTGGATTTTAATTCCTCTCAAACAAGCTCATAAATTAGTTTAATTTTATAATATTGTTTTTTAAATAATGAATTATCATCTAATTTCTGAATATCTGATTTTTGAAATTGGATATTTAAAATTCCAATTGGGTGTAATTTCCACTTTTTTCCTAATTTTTATTAATTTTGAATCGGATTATGGGATCAGATGTTCGATAACATAACAAATCGGATATGAATTTAAGAATCAAATATCTGTTGGATTATCATAAGTTGTAAAATATTTAATAAAACCAATAGTCAAAACTTAATTCATTAAATTGAATATTATTTTAATTATTTTTTTAATTTAGTACGTGCAAATCAATTTTTACTAATTTATTAATTTAAATTAGGCTTATGATAGAAATTTTTTCAAGTTGAACATTTTTAATTGGTGAATTATGTTCAAATATTTCTTATTTTACTACATTATTCATTATTGGAATCGGTCCAAAAACCGATTTGATTATGTGTGAAAATTTTATTTGATTAAGCAATTATTTTTATTTTTGTACATAATTTAAACTTAAATATATAAAAAATAATAAAAAGAAGGCTAATTAGCACAAAACGTCCCTACCTATGGGGTGGATTTTGGAAACCGTTCCTACCTTTCATTTCTTGGCATTTATACCCCTACCTTCCACTTTTTGTGCGCTGAACGTCATTTTCACAACTTTTTGAAGATTTTACCCTCCATTCAATTGAAACGAAATGAAAAGAAAAGAGAAACTAAAGAATTAATTGCAATGATAACCCCAAATTTTTAAAACCTACTTTTGAGTCATAAATACTAATTTTTTGCCCCCAACAAGTGGCCAACTTCGGAGTTATTTTCAGCCACCTTCTGACCACCAAAACTATTGGATATTGGCATCAATTGAAAGCTCTTAACCTCCTCTACAATCACCACCCAACAACTTCCCAAAACACCAAATAATCTTGCCGAAGTCAACTCTCAAATTGAACCACTTGAAAATCTGAAAACTGCTGGAATCTCCTCCTTCGGCCACCGCCTTTGTGGCCAAAAACGCTGGCCAACCACCACCAAAACCACAGGACATTAACACCACTAGGAAGCCATCACTATGCCCTTCAATTCCCACCCAATATCATGCCTCGAACATCCCTCAAATCGCCGAAAATTTGGACAAAAATCGCCTGCTCATTTTGCTAAAATCGGCCGACAACTCCTTTTTCGACGACACCCATGCAAAGCCCAACATTCCAATCGATTCTCCACCTCAAGACGCCCCTGTTCATTGTCCCCAATCGTCCCTTATTGCTCAAAATCAACACCATCAGGTGGTAGCTTCGAACACAGTGAAAATGATCGAGAACCACCACCACTAGCACCTACTCATCAAGGCGCATCCAATGAGCATATGGGTCTCCCTTAATTTGGCCGGGAAACGGTTGTTCGTTCAGAAACATGTTTAGCGCGCGATGTTGGCTCCATTTTTTGATTTCTGTTCACCCACTGCCCCAATCAACAAATTGCGACCACCAACATTCCGTTAAAGTTGCTATTACCATGGGTAATGGATCAATTGATTCAATTCTTCAGCCAATTAAAAGAATTTTGGATTTGGCCAAATTTTTTGGCCACCAACAGTTGGAAGTGTTGTGGATGAGAAAATTAGTATCTTGTGACTGAAAAGTATGTTTTAAAAAATTGGGGTTATAGTTGCAATTAATTCTTTAGTTTTTCTTTTCTTTTTGTTTTATTTGAATGATGGATAAAATTGTCAAAAAGAAGTGAAAAGGACGTCCGGCGCATAGAAACGTTAAAGGTAAGGACGTCCTACGCACGAAATGAAAGGTATGGACGGTTTCCGAAATCCACTCCAAAGGTAGGGACATTTTGTGCTAATTAGCATAAAAAAGAAATTAAAAAAGAAAAGTCGGGTGGGTTCAAGCCGAGACTTTGACGTTGAAGTTTGATATTCTAAAAAATCAGAGAATTGCAAACGATTAAGGGCCTGTTTGTTACAGATTTTCATTTTCTACAGTAAATCAAATTTTATTTTCAACCACACATTTTTCAATAAAATAATATTTTCCATCATATCAATACTTTTTTCTTCTTTTTCAACTACACATTTTCCATCATATAACTATTCAAAAATCAATTCTTCCTCCAAAAATCTCTACCAAACACACTCTAACATAATGTCAAAATGGTCGATTTACTTTCATATTTTAAAATTTTTAATTTTTTTCTATTAATTTAATACATGTTCGACAGTTGACATTTTAATTCAGACCTTGTTTGGTAGAGATTAAAATCAGATTAAAATTGAAAAACTAGCCGTTAGTGTTGACTTTTATTAGACGAGTGAGATCCAATAACGACTATATTTTCAATTTTAATTGGATTAAAATCTCTTCTAGACAAACTCTAATTAATTTATTTATTTCGATTCCTAAATGAATTTGAAAACAAATAAATAAATAAATCGAACGGTTTATATTTAACACTTGGCACACAAGAATATCTCTTTTATATTTTACCTTTTTCAATCCTTCTCGCAAAAGAAAGAGCCAAAAGAAGGAAAGAGAGGCACCGCCCTGTTTCTCCATCCTTCTTCGTATTATAAAATCCATCTGTGCCTAGAATCGAAATCCCATTTTTATTTTCATCATTTGTTTCTTGAATCTCTCTTGTTATCTCCATAAATTTTATTTAGTAATTCAAATTTGATACGGTTATACGATGTCATACGCTTATCTATTCAAGTACATCATCATCGGTGACACCGGTAATTGTTCTTTCCACTTTTGGTAGTTTTATTACCCTTTGTTGGTTTTGTACGATTTTATTGGGTGTTTGTTTTGTTTTGTATGTTAATCGTGTTAATTGGTTATTTGCTGGCTTTGATTTTGCTTCCTTCGGATCTGGAATTGCGAAACGGGGGCTTAAATAAATTTGAATCTTGATATATGCAATGATTTAAAACAGAAAAATTTCTGATTAAAGCAGAAACTGTTTGGCCTTAGGGATGGCAGTGGGGCGGGCGATTTTTCGTCCTCGGGATTGCCCCTAACCGATCCACGTTTAAGGCAAGGGGCAATCTCCCACGCCTTGTTTACTATCCTGTTAATTTTTATTTTTATTTTTTTAATTTGTTACTGGTGAAATCTTGGGTAATTTGAGCTAATGGACTCGAGTAATTGGTTCAGATTTGTGCATAAAAAAAGTTATAAAAATTGAATTTTTAAAAAAAACTTTATAAGCAAAACCCCACCCATTGGCCTTGAGTAATTGGTTTGGATTTATAAAATTAGAAGTTATGATTTTTTCTAAAGTAAATATATAAGCGGGGCATCAAAACCAGGCACTGTTGGGTCGGAGAATTCTGCCCTGTTCGGGGAGGGGCACAAGAAGGGCTCAGGTTTTCCGTGTCAAATTGCCATCCCTATGTTGCCTGAAAAGATTGTTTTGATGATTTCATAGATATATTTCTGATGATACTTTAGTTTGCAGAGCATACTCGTCTTTTTTGTTACATCTGTCTTGGTTTGTTGTAGCCAATGGTTCCCATATTGTGTTGGAATTTAAGTTATGAAGGGTATAGACTGAATAGGAGAAAAAGTCGGCTCTAAGAACTACGTTGTAATTTTCATCCTTGATTAAGGAGGAAGGTATGATTAGAATTTGGTCATATGGTTGTAGGTGAATTTCAAAATTCAATGTTAGCCCCTGTTTGATCCACATTCTTAAAAAAATATATTCTTTCTAAACTCATTTTCGACCACACATTCTTCAATAAAATAATATTACACGTAAATTCGAAACTTTTTCTTATTTTTTAACCACATGTTTTCCATCACATCACATCGTAAAGTGCATTATTTTCTACATAATGTGCATCAAACACCTCCTTACTTTCTTGTTGGGTTTTTTCATTTTTACATATGTTGTAAATACTTAAAGCTTAACTAAAGTGTAGGAAAATGTTTTTAAGATATCCATGTTCAATAACTTGATGTGTAGAGGAAATATAGTCTTTGAGGTACATTTTCTCCTAATGTAGATCTTGGAACGAACATTTTGGGTTGAAAATTTCAAGGTTTTTTTGTTTGTTTTGTCGGCTGCGAAGTCTCATTGCCAGAGTTGCATATGTTCAGGAGTCAGGATATGTATAGAGTATAAGTTTCATTGCAGATGGAGACTCTTGTTCAGTGTATTTAGCACAAGGATGGCTGAAGGAGTAATATTTTTTATCGGCTTGAACATGTCTTGCAGGTGTTGGGAAATCCTGTCTCCTTTTGCAGTTCACTGACAAACGCTTTCAGCCAGTGCATGACTTGACTATTGGTGTTGAATTTGGGGCTAGAATGGTTACAATTGACGGAAAACCTATAAAACTACAGATTTGGGACACGGTTAGTTTAAATACTTTAAACTTTGTTTTGCCTGTGATTTTTCCAATTTGGAATCCTTGAACAAGCTTGTGTTTCCGCAAGAAGAATTTTTGTTTTCATCAACTCTTATATGGATACACTTTAATACGAGTTACTGCATCCGTGAGCAAGGACGGAGCCTGAAAAAATCGTTGGGGTGGGCTAAATTTTAAAAATTTTCCAATGAACTACACCGTAAGTAAGATATATTCTACGTTGCATGAGATCTAATTTAAAAGGCTAAACTCGTGGCACTCGTGACCAATTGGGTCAATTATTCCAGCATTTATAAATTTAGATGTCAACCCTAAGATGTCCTTCTGGATCTTCATAGCTTTCCTTGCCAAATAAGAAATCGATGCCGTTGCCAAATTGAAAATCGATGCCTTATCTAGGAAACATATAGTGACTGAAGCATGATAAGCTTGCACAAATGATATATACCCAATCAAAACTTAATAAGCCTCTGTTTGGTATCCATTCTTTTTTTCATTCTCATTCTTCTACTAATTTTCAACCACACATTAATCAATAAAATAATATTTTTCATCACATCAATAACTTTTCCTTCATTTTCAACCACAAAAAA